GTGTTAATGTCGTAGCTTGCTTCTGCTGCACAACCGTGTGATCAATATCAAAGAAAATAATGAAAATAACTAGCTTCATTTACTACACATCTCTCAAGTGTGCTTGTGTTAGATTCTGAGGCTTTATTGCTGCGAGGAACATGTCAGAATATGCAGTTTGTATTGCTGTGCTTTGCAGTCCAGAGAAGAGCTTGATCTGAAATTAGTGGACTGAACAGTCATTAGGTCTCGACTGGTTGGTAACACTGGCAGTGAATACAGCCTGCAGTTCTATTAAGCCTGACAGGGGCTTGACTGAATGACATAAAGGAGGCAGTGGTGTCAGTTAGCACTGGCCCTCAAGGAGCAATTATCACTCAATGGCTCGTTAGGACTCAGGAACCCATGAGTACTGCTGAGGAGGAACAGCAGAAGCACTGGGAGAGCATGGTGGGAATATACAGGATAATGATAGAGGGAACGTGAGCAATACATTGGGAATGAGAGGGATGATGGCTGGGATTACTGTGTAGCAAATTACATGGGATTCTGTTGCTTTCAATGTGATGAAAGAGAAGAGTTGATAATTGGGGACTGATGGAGCATTTGGATTTGTGTTATGATGCAGAATTAAAGTGTCAAAAAGGCTGCTTCGAGTATCAAATACAATATGATGTGGCTGTGCGCACTGGGAAGCCCATTTAAAGAGTGATTTTACCCCAATTACAGAAAACATATTTTGCCACCATCTCCATTACCCAACCAAGCAGTTTGTTTTTTATCTGAGATAAAACGAAAGTAAGTTTAAGGAAATTTGATTGCATTGCTCATAGAGCTGCAGCTAATGATTATATTCTTTATTGAGTAATGGGCAGAATATTTTTTCAAGTTTACTCGATTCATTGATTAATTGATCAATCCACAAATTGTTTCCAGAGGTGGTCCGATCCATTTTTTTCCTTCCCAGTACCAATTCCAATACCGATCCGATACCTGATACACCCGATATCCACATTTTAGGCAGTACCAGGGGAATTTACAATACTGGTGCAACTGGAGTTGTTTCATCTCTAGTTGCTGTTGAACCACTCTAAATGTACTGTTAAATATATTTTCAGCGTCCCGGTTTACTCTGAATAATAATCAACCTTTTGCTAAGGAAAAGTTTACAGTGGAAAGCTAGTTTGCATTACATTTGCATTGCCTGGATGCATTCAGTGGTCAGGCCTTGGTTTTTTTTTTTTTAACATGATGTCTACAGGAAAGGTTGAATTTGCATACACTACATGGCCTTTTACAGCAGTGCCCTGTTTACAGTGCACACACACGTGCACACATACACAGGCAAATAATGTACCAAGAGCAGACTAACAGAAGAGAATAAGAAACAAAACACAGATTATACTGTAAGTGTTTTCATTGTTAGCTGGCTTGGCAGAACAGTCCATGCTGCTAAAACAGTAAAATCTAAAGTTTTGTATTATTCCTATCCCTGTATTAGTTTTAGTACTGGGTTTCGGAAGCCAATTTTAGTGTGTGTACTCTCACACACTCACTCTGTCTGATAAATAGCTCTGGCACCAGTTCCGGACATCACTTCCGAAGCCAACACAGCATCATGTTTGTAAAAGTAAAATATTATCAACCACATTTTAAATCCATTAAATCGATGGCACAATGTGCTTTCCAAAACATAAATTAGATCATTTAAGGTTTACGTTCAGATTTAATAAGGTTACAGCTGAGATTCTTGTTTTTATACCACTGTGA